AAGCTGGGTGACACATGTTTGCGTTCAAAGAAAACGGATCGCTTTGTTGCTTTGTGTTATTTAACACTTGTTGGCATTATGAAATGCAGCTTCTTTCTGCAGCTCGATGCTCTTTTTTTAGTTCGTTATATCTGCCTTTTTTCCACCTGTAACAAACACACGCAGAAATCATTACGGGTTTTGTTTTTTGAGTGGCAAAACATCATTATAAAACCACAGCAAACTGACGTTACACAACAAATTCACAAAACTAATTGACGTCAATTCCCTTCTAATGGTGACGAAACGCAACAAGTTTGACGTCACAAAAATTTGAAATCATTGTAACAATAGTCTAATTTTTAAAAAAACATTTTCTTTGTCTTTGTTATGCGTGTTTGTTTGTTCTCTGCACATTTTGTGCTCGTCAACTGTCCTTGCTTGATCAGGTGCACTCAGGTTTCAGTGTTTCTCACCGCTAAACCTTTTCAACCTTTTCTTTGCAAAGACAAAACACTAACAGGAAAGTGCTTCTCAATGGAAAGTTTTGTCTGTTCACACAGTGGTCTTAAAATAAAAAAAACTTGATTTCCGTCCACCAAACCCCCTCCCTCTTTACAAAAATTGCATAATGTGTTTTTGATGTCATGTTTGTAGCCTTGCCCGTGGCTCTGACACTGATACGGCGCTGTATGTTATTTTTAAACCTTTGCATTGCAAATGCCAATGAATTTTTCCATGACCCCTTTCCCATGTTTTACCAGTTCTCTTTCATCTAGTTTTACTAATGTTGAAGTTGTTCACAGATGTTTATTAGATTTTATTCATTTATTTTTACAATGTTAGGTGCAAAAAAGTCTGGACAAAAATAATGACAAGAATGAAGCAAGAAACGTGGTGCTTTGATGTGCTGTCTTCATCAGAATGCTTAATCTCCTGCAGGGCCCTGAAAACTCCTGCAGTGACTGAGCAACTGAATGTTCACTAAATGGTCGGGTCAGCACCTCACTTCCTGGTGTCTCTTAGGGTCAATAATTCCCTATAGCTGCTCCCACGAGGCTTTGCTTCCTCTACTGAAGGTCACATTAAGGCGGGAAAGATGTCACAATTAGAAGGGCATTTAAACTTGCTCTCCTAAAAAGATTAAAAAGCACCACTGGCCACATCAAACAGCCAGGCGACCAAAGGAAATACAATAATTGCATTAAAACTTAATTCCTTTTTCGCAGGGCTCTGATATCAGAAAGGTATTGGGTTAAGTCATTTAAGACAGCTGCCCCTAATAGCAAATCATCCATGAAAGCACCAAATTAATATAGAGCTTCATTTTTTGCCGTCTCACTTTCTCTCGCTTTGGTCCTCCAAACATGTGTTTGAGGGGGGAAATTTGAGACTATCCTAACACAATTTTTGATCTTGTCCACTAGTGTGTTATTATATCAGGGGCACTTCACAAATGCACAGGCCAGGGCAATTTGGAATGAATTGATTCACATTGAGACTGAATCCTATACTTGCTAATGATTTTCTTTTAGCCCATCATTACAACTTTTTGTACTATGATGCCCACTGAATCCATTCACTAAATTGATGACATGTAATTGTCTCATACTTTTATATCACGTTGGTTTAAAAATTTGAGCAGCAACTGTGACATTACTTTGATTTGTTTAATCGTTCGATTAGTCTGTGGTACCATAAGACCGTGGATGGAAGATTTGCTCAGCAGTTTCAATAAACAGTTAGTTCTACCTTTTGTCTATATGTTGTTTTTATGGTAAATGGACTGTACTTGTATAGTGCCTTTCTGTCTTATTGAGATACTCAAAGCACTTTACACTACAATCTGTGTCCTCATTTACCCGTTCATACAGCACTCTACTAGATCTCTACAAAGCTAATTGAACAAATCATTCTAAAGAGACTAATCAGAGCTTTATCACATTCATACACTGAAGGGACACACATCACAGGCAATGACGGGTCCAGTGTCTTGCCCAGGGACACTTCGACATGTGACTGCTGGTGGATTCGAACCCCCAACTCTTGCATTGGAGGACGACTGCTCTAACCACTCAGCTACAGCCGCCCTTTATCAAAATGTTCAGATGTTTATTCAAAAAGAGGTCATAAATTATCAATCTGCATTCAATCCTAACAACAAGAAAGTCTGTTGTTTACTGTTTATATCATTCTAGTTTATGTTCCAAGTAACTGATAAGTGAATGGATGATTTGACCTAAATAATGTAGAACTAAACTGTTTATATGTGTGTTTAGAAAACTAAAACTAAATTCTGCCTCTGAGTGTGTTTAGAAAACTAAAACTAACTTCTGCCTCTGGAAACAAGTAGTTTAAATCTTTGAATAGCATTTAACACATTGACGTTTCAGTTCTAAGGTTAAACGTTTTCACACTACCTACGTCTGAACCCCCATAATGCACTCCTGCATACTATCCATAGGTTTTGTGGTATGTTATAGTTGAGTGCTGATACTAGTTAGAGCAAAAATATACAACTGGTTACATGGATTCCCTTAGGCGTCCATCCATGTGGTTCGAACATAATTGAATTTCACCCTCATTTCTTACAGTTCGAGGTATCGCAGTTGTAATTTTCAGGCAAGTGCAGTGCAAAGTCTGGACCAATTCAAACTCAATAACATTTCTGTAATCTTGTCTGTTCATCAAGTTCACTCTCTTTAAGTGTATTGGTTAATGTTATCTCTTCCTATGATTGAGTTTTCGCCTCTTTTTCAGTTTTACCTGACACTTTATTGGTTATCTGGTTTGCAAAGATTATTGCTCTTTACATGGAGCACTTTGGTACATTACTAGTCAAAGCTTTACAAGAAGGTTTACAAAGTAGCACATTTCTTGTTAAATCACTAAACGTAGACAAGGTTTCTGCAACGAATGGCTACTTTTTATGGCAGTTATTGATGCTGCTTACGCAAAAGTACCTTGTACAGTTATCCATCTTAACCCCCTAAAAGCCCAGTTGTGTGCTACCCAACACTATAACTGGGGTGATCCATAAGTCAATAACAAGGGTGAAATCAGTGCAATGTGGTTATAATTGATTGAGATGTCTGGCTGGAACTTGTGCAAAGCATATATGTCATCTGCTAAGAAGTGCACTTTTCCGCTCCCTGAAGATCTACCACTACAGTTTTAACCAAATGGACTTTTGCTTCATTAGTTTGCCGCTGAGCAAGCTGCGGTCCTTGCTAAGGTATCATACTTATAACATTGATACAATTTTCTTGTCAATATTGTATGGTTGAAATTTTAAGAGAATGAAAACAAGAATTGCTTATTCAGCATGTTCTTTCACTAATAGGTCATTATCGTTTTTAGGACCCTCATCTCTTTATTGACTGGTACAAAAATTAGAATATTAGATTTTTTTGTATCGTCTCTTCTTTCTGCCCTCTACTTAGAGTTGTGTCTTTAGAACACTTGGTTAGACAGTAAGTGTTTTATCAAGAGCAGGATTATTTTTCTTGTTATGAAAAGGACACCCTTTATTTTATTTTATTTTATTTTATTGAACTGAATCTTTTTGTCCCAGAACATGAGTTGTGGGCTCACCATGCAAATGGTTTAATCTAGTTGTCACAATGAAGGTTCCGAGTGAGTGACTTTAATAAGCCCTCAGCATATACAGACCCAGGAAATCCCATACCTCTTGTGTAACCCTTGTATATCAAGGTCACAGTTGTGTCTCTGTGAAATAGAAGATTAGTGTTTAAACAAATTGTGGCAGTGTCTCACAGGATGAATCAGATACTTTTTGATATTTTTACAACACTATATTTCTTGTAAATTCTACATAAACTAATATAAAGTTTATACCTATGTAGAGCCTATGTTGTGTTACTTTTTTGAATGTATTCCTAGCACTAAAGGGAAGCTTTAAAATCTGACTGCTGAGGTTCACAATAGCCCCGTGTGTTTGTCATAGAAGTTTAGCTTTTTAAAAAGCTTCCCTGCCACCTCTGCCCATTGGACAACTTTAAGCTACTATTCTTTTGTATTGAAACAGGTTCATAGTATATGCAATGCATTACCTAAAATGAATTACCACTGGCATGGCGCTCAATCACTTTGTATCTTTCAACACTAAAAGAAAAGAAGAGTAATCAAAACCTTTCAAGCTATTAGAGGGATGACTTTTACAATTGAATCATGGGGACCACAGGTGCGATAATAAGTCATGGAAACCTCCCCTCCATTGTGTTTCTTCTTTCTGTGTTCTTACATATTTATCTATTTTAAGAGGCGCCACTTCATGGCGCCCACTTCAAATTTATGTTTTAATGTCATTTGAGGAAGATTTTTTTCCCCCCTACCTCCAATTCTTGGAAATGCATACTGGGTGGAAAATTAAGGTGCATCTCGAAGGAAAACATAATAGAATCGATGAACGCAGTGCACTTAAAACTACTGATGTTCTGATGCTATTTAACGTTCTGGTGCATTAACGTTTCAAGTCATTACAACAGTCAGGCGAGGTGATTTGATCATGGCAGGTTTTTAACTGGAAGAATTACAGAAGTTTTCTGCCTTGGATTCTCAAGTTATTAGATACAAATGATCACCTCTGCATTAAGTATAGATTTTCTTCCTCTGCGCACTTAAGAATGGAAGTTTGTCTTTAAGAGGGTAATAGCAAATTAAGCTCCATACTCCATTTGTCCGGCACTCTTGATGGGCTAATTTTATAACTGCTGATTTGGTCATTCCCCACATTTAGCAGGAAAGTGGTCAGGTGGTGTTTTTCCTCGCTGCTGGGTGTGAGGGGTATAAAAGCAACTATCAGATGAAATCCATTTAAGTTTTTTTTTCTTTTCTTTTTTTTAACAAGGGCAGATCATAATAAATCTATTTCTTATAGAAGAAGGTCTAGACTCTTGTTTGTGCTGTTAAAAGCATTATGGTAGTTTTTTTAGGGCTTATCTTCATCTGTTCACATATATGCCATTATGAGGAATTAAATCAAAATGTTCTCTTCCCAGATTACCACCGCTGTGAAATTTCTAGAGAACCCAAAAGTACGTCAAACTCCCCTGGCCACCAGAAAAGGCTTCTTGAAAAAAAAAGGTAAAATACTTTTACTTTTAACATAAGACAACTTTGAACAACACATTTATGTGAAAAATATTCTGTATTTCTGTGAAGAGCGTTGTTGCTTAGTCATAAAGAAATATTTGTTTTTTTTCTGGCATGACTAATCTGTAAAGGTCAAAGGTTGTGGCTGTAGCTCTGCGCTGGGGAGGGCTGGTGGGGTTGAGGGGATAAAAAGGGTCGATTTTGCTTCAGAGAACGTGATTCAGGGCCTATGAATAAATGACACACCAGTTGGGATGCTCCTTTGGGTTCAGGAAAATTAATATTGACAAACTCCCTCTGAGTTTTCAATGGAATTATCAATATTGCCTTCTAGCATTTTAACCCTTTTACTTAATTTAATGGTTATTGTAAATTTGTCAGACTACACAGTGAGGTTTTCTGAGCAGGGGAAGAGTTATATTTGCTGCCTCTTCTCTGTTTTTATTCATTCAAATATTTTAATGCATTCTAGAATATTGTTTGTGCAATTGAAAAAGTCAAAACGAAAAAACTTTATTACCCCCGAAGTCATTAAAGTCAGTTCATAATGCAGCAGTGGAGTTGTAGGGCTGTAGTTCAGCAGTGATAATATGAAGAGTTTGTTTTTAACCTCAGTGTTACTCTTTGTGATAAATGTTTTTATTTTAGTTGTTTCAGAGACAGTAGTTCAGTACTTAAGGGACTGTGTCTGCATAGTGCTGAGGGATTTTGCTTGTAGCATTAGAGTAGCCAAACAGTTAAGAGTGAGCCTAAGAGCTCTGCGATTGGGGAAGGTAACCTGAAACCAAATCCATGTTTGCCGGCTGCTGCCACACACCTCTCATATGGCTATAATGATCCCTAATATATTTTTACATTTCTTCATATTTTAGTCTCATTATTGACAACCAGCTATAATTTTCTTTTGTGTACTTCCAAGGCAGGATCACCACCAAATGATGTCATGCTTTACCCCATTTTCTTCTTACTTGCAAGAGTCTTGCAATATTTGTGGAGCTCCACTATCCAAAATGGTTTGCTTTTACTGCACTTTAAGATCATGAAATATGTATGATGCTTTAATGCAGATTTATTTTGGTGAATCTGTTCCATTGTAGATCCAGGCAAGAACTCTTGATTTGCATGAGGACATTGATCATAGGGAGAGTGAGAGCAGAGATATGTGCAATGAAACACTAAGCATAAAGTATGTTTGAGGAGCTTTTTGCAGTACTCTTAGCACTGAATTTGTGTTGTACAGTTGTCCAACGGTTAGCCTTTTAGGCTTGACATCGTTTGACTCAAACTTGAGCACCCTGATATTTGAGTTAAGAATATTATTTCTTAATGCTGCTACATAAAATTGTGTCAATGTGTTTTTAAATTTGAATGCTAGAATGATATTGCTCATTTAACAGAACAACTTCAAGCTGAAAGGTATGTGCAAAATATATTTTAAAGTGGTAAGTCAATGGCATATTTTGGTAATATTGTTAATAAATATGCTGGAGGTTTCTTCCTGTTAAAAGGGAGTTTTTCCTTTCCACTGTTGCCATTACGCTTGCTCAGGATGGGAGACTGCGACGAAATGAAGATTCAACAAGTCTTCTGGCTTCCTTAGATAGATAACTTTACTTTTGTATGTATGTGAATGTTTCTGTTCAGTGCCCTGAGACAACTTCTGTTGTGATTTGGCGCTATATACATAAACTGAAATGAACTGAATTAATATGTAGCATCCCTTTGAATGACTGAACTTTTTCTTGCTTTACAATGACATTTTTGTCTCTGTACATTGTTTTGAACTGGTCAGCTTGGTCCATCCACATAAAAGCACCAGTGCAAAATGCATTTCAATGCAGGTTTTTGTTAAGATAAATAATTTTAATAGTCAAAGATTTTGTAAATTATGTGATCAATTTAAACCATACTATCTGGAGACATTTATATGGTAAATGGACTGCACTTATATAATGCCTTTTTATCTTATCAAGACACTCAAAAAGCTTTACAACACAATTTGGGCCCTCATTTACCCATTCATACAACACTCTACAAGATCTCTGTAGAAACTAATCAGTGCTTTATCACATTCATACACCAATGGGACACACATCGGAGGCAATGAGTGGTTCAGTGTCTTGCCCAGGGACACTTCAGCAGGTGACTGCTGGTGGACTCGAAACCCCAACTCTTGCATTGGAGGACGACTGCTCTAACCACTCATCCACAGCCGCCCCATTTATGATAACTTCTTTTTGCTTGCTTCCAATTCACTAGAACTTGAGCAACAGAGTTTTTCTGCAGAGAAGTAGGCCAGTCCGTTTGCTGTATCTTCACCCTCTGTATTTTGTCTTTTCAACCTTTTGACACAGAAACTCAATAATTCTCCTCATCCCACAGTCAACACAGAAAACGTGTCACTCTTAATTTCTAATACAGTTTAATGTCATATTTATGTAAATACTTCTTGATTTTGCTCTATATTAACAGCCAGAAATGTCAAAGCACACATAAAATGAAACAATACCATCTCCCAGTAGAGTGGAATTTAAATTGGATTCCTCTTGCTGCTAGTGCTTATGCCGGACAGCTGATGAAGGGGAAAATAGGGCTCACTTTGATTGCATGTTGCAGAATCTTTACACAATAATCTCAGTCGTGCATATTATTTTCCTGCGCATTTGTGCCCTAATCTGCATTGAAGTATGCCTCTCTGGTTGCATCGCTTTTTTCCCAAAGAGATCATAATAGTGCGGTTTATTTCAATATTCATTGAAAAATATAATTTTCTGTTTTTCTTCTACTGCCAATTTCAGGATATGAATTGGTCATTACAGAATCCAATATTTCCACTTGCCCTTCTTGAGTCCTTGAAGTTAAATAAACCGACTGAAATGTTGAAACTTTGTTACTTTAATGTAGTATAAAACACGATTTAAACTTGGGGTCCTTTTTTTTCCTTCTGTAGCAGATGGGTGAGGAAATGAATTGAATTTTAAACTGCTCTACAACAATCTTGAAGCAATTTTGCTTTACTCGTTCCTCACCAAGCTCAAGTAATTTTTATTGTGTTTGAGTGAAATTTAAAGTGGTTGAAAATTGTGCTGTGTGTTGTCTTCTTCAATTAGCAGTTGTAACAACTAAAGAGCAATGGGCTCCGTTTTGGCACCGCCATTTCAGCCCTGACAATTAGCAGTTTCACACATAATCACCACCAAAAATTTAATTCTCTGGACAAAGTCAAGAGCATTTTCTGGCTTTTAACATGTCACTTTGACCGTTGCCCCAAAACTGACATCACTCAGCAGCTCCTTGATTACCAAGCTGAATACAGTTTGGAAAAGTAAAGAGCACATTGGTGCAAATTTAACATGTGAGCAGCTCACAGTGCCTTCTCTGTCAGTGAGTCATAAAAAATGGCTTCACTTATTTCTTTTTTATGCCTTCTCAGTGGTTATGTTGAATAAATGATCCTAATAGATTTCACCCTGACTAGAGGGCTGGTGGTCCAGGGTCAGGAGAGCACAGGTAGGCTTTTTTTGTCTATTACCATACCTGGTCTGAAGGTAAGGGTAAGGTTCATCACCACAAGTATTAATAGGATGCTGTTTGTAAGTGGGGTTACGTGACTCACCTCTCGGACAAAGATGACAATAACCAAGGCCTGTGGAGAAGGTAAAGGGATTGATGTGGTTATAAATTACTCCACGGCGCCACCTAGCCGAGGCCTTGCCTACTTTGTCATCAGTACAAGGCGATAAAGCAGGGAAATGAGAGCAGAGTCCCCTTTTTAATACATAAATGAATACTCTATGAGAGTGGTCATTATTTAGGGCATGCCATTTTCAAGCAGTTGTACAGAACCAAATGACATGTATAACCCCTCGTGCCACTACAGCTTGAGAAACTGGTAGAACTTTTTTCTTAATAACCCCATTGACCTCCATCTATTTATGACCCTTGCCATACATTTTTTTTCTTTCTAAATACAATATTCAAAATGTAAGTACTTTTCACTCAAGGGCAACTTCATAATTCAATCTTTGGAAGACCGCAAAAAAGGCATTCACCTTTCACTTCCCAAATATTTTAGTAAGCAATTTTTATAATTAGCTGTCCAAGCTAGGTCTTGACCCATAAAGTCCAGAAGTGCCAGAATTGGAGAAATAGATTTAATGTAAGGGCCTGGCTGTCTCTTTGCCCTTAAAAAATGCCCAGAGAATATGAGCTTCTGAAAATAGAGCTGTAAATAACCCGACGAGCAATGGGTTTTCCTTTAAATAAATACCGATCAGGTTTATGTTGAAAGACAATAGAAAACGTTGCCCAGATATGCAGTTTACAGTATTTATAGCTGTAATATCGAGGTGCCAGCACCGTAATTTCATGCCCCAATGAGAATGGCAAGGTCAAAGCAAATGCTTTGGCAGAGCATCTGCTAATACGGTGACTCATAAACAGGCACTACGTGTATCAGGTGCACCAAATAATACAGTATAATGAAATACAGAATAGCTTTCCATTATTGTTCTTTTTTTATGGTGTCGTCATTAGGTATAATTTATGTCTTAAAAATTCATCTCCTTACAGGTCGATCTGAAATGGGGGTCCAGGGGTCATTCCACAGGTTTTGGAACCCATAATAAATTTCCAGTCCCCCTTTTTTTTACTTTTCCTTTTATATGTAAAACTCACTTTCACCTTGTTCATTTTTTCTTCTGTATCTAAGTGTTCTTTTTATTTATTTTTTGTTGTGTTTTGCAAATAAATCAGAGACGACAATCAATTTAGCAAGTAGCTTTTGAACTTAAAACCGGTTTGTATATGTATTTTGCTTGTATGTACAGGGAGAGCTAAAAATAAATAGTCTATTGTTGCACGAACAATATCAAATGTATCAAAAGGATGCACATATTTAATTGCAACCTACTTAAAAGGGTAAAAATAAAGATTTTATATTTAAGGGTGAAATTGATTGTTTTTCTGTTACTTTTTCCTTTATTTGGGTAAATTGAGATCACTGCAGGTCTCACTCAATAGTCTGTCACCATGTAGTCTGCTGTGGTCAGATGAATCAGGAGTCCAGGGACACATTATTGCTTATTTGACATTGCAGTCTGACTACACAAACTCAGCACATGGCTTGTTCCACTTCCTGGCACTGAAGACCTGCTGTAAACTACTAGCTGACCAATATTTTCCTTCAGTTATTCAACAGTTCTCATGGTCATTCCCGGGTAGATTAAATATGTGACTCGAGATATCTTGTCATCAGATGCTTTGCTGACCATATAAGTAATTGTTTATGCATTGTTTATATTCTTGAAACGTTACATCAAACCCCTGCTTATGTTCAGTGTTTTCCTTCAGGAAAAAGTTACCCTCAATATTTATTCTTTAGATTATAAAAAAGCCTGATTTTTTTTTCATTTGACAAGACTAATACCATATTTTCCGCCGCACACGTTGCACCGCCCTATAATTCGCATCAGTCCATATACGTCTAATAAAAATCCATAAATACGTTGCTTCACCGTATACGTCACTTCTATTATGCGTCACGGCTGACACGTCACGTTTGTTATGTGTCACCGCTGACAACTCGGAAATGTGGGCCGAACCCAGAAATGTGGGCCGGTGTTGTGCCAAAAATCGATTGGCTGCCAAATGGCAGCCGCGGGAGCATGCATGGAAGGACTTTAACAAGATTAACACTTAAAAACAATTATTTGTTTGCTTGAAATTATAGTAAAGGTGTGTCTCTTTTGAATTTTTACTTATTAAATGCACTTTGACGATCAAATCAGCTGCAATTTCAAAAGCCAATATGCAGAAATAGGTGCGTGCACTGGAGGACTCACTGTGCATTTCTTCGAAATTTAACAAGATAACCACCTAAAAACAATGATTTGTTTGCTCGAAATTATAGCAAAGATGTGTTTCAGTCTAACTTTTCCTTAATAAATGCACTTTGACGGTCAACTTAGCTGCATTTTGCCAGGGCGGCACAGCAAAATGAAGCTGATTTGACGGTTGCTCCAGGCAAGCTGGACGAAGGTGGCAGGCTGTGGCAAGCCAGTTGTGTCATTAATAGCCACTTTTACCTATTGCATAACACAACGTCATGACATACTACTTGAGTGCCATCCAGCGGCTGAAAATGGTAGTGTTCAATATTATCAGTCAAAATAAATGAAAACGGTCATATCTCAGCCAAAAATTGGTTTATAACTATGGAGGAAAAAAATCCATAAATGCATCGCTTCAGCGTATAAGTCACAGGGCATGCAAATTATGCAAATACCCACAACTTATAGACAGAAAAATACGGTAATCTAGTTAAATGTTAGGAGAAATATTTGAGCTACATCAAAAGGAGAACAACATATAACTAAAATTGTACTGATTTGTTCTTAATGAGGCGAGCTTTATCATTCATTATCCAGAACTACAATGTGTTCCAGTTTAGTGTCTTTCTCTGGCTTTCTCTTAATTGTTTTGTTATAAATGGGCTGATGTTGCTTTTTAATATAGTTTATAACAAGTTGTAATTATTTTTCTTTGTTTAGACCATGATACTCATTAAACAGTGAAACCCACATCAATGGAAGCATATGGTGCTTGAAATAAAAATTCTTTCTTGCCACAAAAGGAAATGTTCATATTAAATTTTTTCCCTCTTCCCCTCTGATTCTCCATCAGGGAGCCCTTTGCAATTTAATCATCACTAAAATCATTAAAAATATCTGAAGATTAAATTATATTGGCATTTGCAAAATTATGTCATACATTTACATTACAATGAAGAAATTAAAATAATGCATTTTTGCTGTCTGGGGTGTATGAAATCTCCACATGGGAAATATAACTGGAGAAGTGGACAGACTCTTATTTTCTTTGCCTTTGGTGGCAGTTAATAGGCTTGCAGAGTTTCAAATTTCATTGTGTGAACCCTTTCTCCACTTTCTTTGATGGATATCCATAAAAGTCTCAACGGTGTGTCTGACTTATGAAATGAAAATACGTTTTTGAGAAGAGGGTTGGTAAAATTGAATGAGAATTGACATACTCTGAATTGTACTTAGAAGATTTGTTGGGATCTTGGGAGGTGTTTAAAATTACGGTATTATAGCCAGGGAGCCATTTAGATTTTCACTTTAATGCACAGGCGCTGTGTGTAGTTGGACTGTTTTTAATATTTTTTGTGTTGATTCCAGGCCTGACTGACGAGGAAGTAGAGTTGGCCATCCAGCGCTCTGGCAGCACAGAGGAGGTCTTGCCTTTGAGTCCTGTGGCCTTTCCACATTCACCTTATGCAGTTCCTACACCACCCAGTGAGTACACAAAATCATTACTTATGGAACTGATATTTAGGTGCACTTTTAACTTTTCAGTAAAAAAACTTGATCAGTTAGAGGCTTCATCAGATAACTTAATCTTCAATACAGTCCTGTAGCATATACGGTTGCCTTAATTGTGAAATCAGACTTGGAGAATGCCACACAAGACAAGCCTTTAAAGTCTTGTATCATTCTTTTTCTGGGGGGTCCACCCTGGCAAGACCCCACACCACAACCTGTATCTTTATTACCTCAGGAGGTTGTGAATTCTGTCCACTGATTTACCAATGCAGAATGAAGTCCGCGTAATGCTTAACCCATATGACAATGATTCCAGATGTATTCCACCCTCATTTATTACTACACTGTCCTTGACTCCCCGGCATCTCATGTTTTGTAATGAAAGTGATGTTGATGGGATGGCCATGTAGTTAGGGAGACTCGCGGCTCTCTGTCCATTGTAGGGGGGTTTTATATCAAAACGGCTATAAGGGAGCTGCATAATGAGGTGAGAGCGGGAAGTCTTGTATGGGGGGTCATGCTGAAAAGAGGGGGCTACCTGCCTTTGATGTCCTTCTCACAGGGACGGTGCACAGGGACCCGCATCCATCTCTGTCGCAGTAATGGATACTCTGATCTCTATTTCCACATGGTAGAAGGACAGGAAGGCCTCCACTGAACCCAATAAATTTGAGAGGAGATTGGAAAAACGGGGGATGGAGACCACAGTTTCACAGCTTAAGTGACCAAATAAAAAAAGGAAGATGGCAGAGTGGAAGTGGTATAGAAAAAGGAAAAGACAGAAGAAGAATAAGAAGCTCTAAAGGAGGGGGAAAGCGCAAGCGAAGAACCCTGGTGATGCATTTCAGGCTTGTTCAGGGTCAAACACCCATCTCAAGGACTCTTAGGCCTTTCAGATGTCTGGCATTTTAGGATAGGTGACAGTCCATCCCGGCATTAATGTTGATGAAGACCCAAATTTATGTGGTTATATGGATGTTGAAGAATGGTTCAAAATTGTCAATGGTAAAGGTTACTGGTTCACTAAATGCTGTAACGGCAGTGAAACACGCCCTTGAGTAAGTAAAATAAAATTCCATTCACCTTGAAAATATTCCATATAGTCCAATATGAGTGGTCTCCTCTTTTATTTGCATGTAAAATGACAAGTGCTAAAGCAAAAGATCAATTTAGTTTACTTACTTCAAGGCTATAAACATGTACCACATGAACCATTAGGTGAAATCAGACCTTTAGCAGAATATCAATGGGAGGAGGAAGCCTCAGAAATTGTATTTATTTTAGCCACACTAGAGTAAATAAAAGCAAACTCACACACTTCCTCATGATATGTTGGTTGTTTAGTGACATTTTCAGTTGAATGCCTCTCCTAAGTGGGGAATTTCCACCTTGACAGGCAGTTGGCCTACCCAGATGACAGCTTGCACAATGACACACTTTCACATTATCTGTCACTCAGCAAGACAGTCAACTTCTAACTGCACAGATACACATTCTTTTTTTAAACCTTTTTGTTCACATTAGAAGCTTTATAAATGAATAGTATATTGAAAATAGTTTTTTTATTTATCCCCATGTTCTATGAATTTTATCGCATTAGTCATGAAAACAAGCTTCAGGTTTTTTTTTTTAGATGCGATGATGGATGAATTTTGCAGTCATTCCACTAATTTGTTTTCCCATCACTATTTTATGTATAGTTTCTTTTTCTAATTATAACTTGTTTGTGTTGTACCAAATAATTATAACTCATTATTAGCATTACTAAAATGTTATCAGTTGGATATTTTAGTTCATTGTCAAAGATTAGATTTTGATCCCAATCTTTTTCTTTCTCCAGCTCCAACTGGCTACAGATGGAGAGACTATGGTGCTCTCACTGTCATCATGGTGGGCATTGCATTTGGCTTTCATCAGCTTTATAAGGCAAGTTACTACAACATTATGACTATTTAATAACGTTTCTCTTACAATAGAAAATGTATGATCAACAACCTTCACATTATATATGGAGATAGTCTGTACTGCCTCTTCTCTGTGTTAGAATTTTTATTTTTTCATCAGTCTATGATGAATTGTGGCGCCTCTGCAGTTTGTCCATCACTCGGCTGTTGTTATTAAAGTGATCCTGCTTTATGTCAAAGCATGGTTTCATTTAACTTCTTAGTTTTTTCCTCAACCAAATACTTTTTTTTTTTGTATTAACTAGATTTGCCAACATGGAACTAAACCATTTTTTAAATTATTTCTTATTATTAAAATAAACTCTACTGGTTTTATTGGGCTCTGCAGCCCTTGAACATGAGCTCATGACGATTGCTTGTCAACAGTGACACTATTCCCATACTGGTGTTAGTAGTGGTCTGAATGACATATGGAAACCATTACTCTAGTTTTAGAAGGGGAAAGGAGACTAGCAGTAGCTCTTTGCCTAAATGACTGGTCCCTCCACTTGTGTTTACATATAAGAGAGCAAAAGGGACACATTACATGTTCGTACATATACCTTTCTGAGTGTATGTACACATGCTGTCCTGACAGGCCCGTTTCATGCTCCATTATTTACTATTTTAGTAAAGCTTTTTCTATGTCTGTACACTCATTCTTTTTTGCCTCAGCAGCCAAAGACACACACTGTATCAGCCCACAGTTTCCTACGTGCAGAAACACTTGCTTTATTTGGTAGGTGGGAATCCCTGGTGGGATGGCACAGGTTGCTGTCATGTCACCTGAGTGTCGCACCAGTCGCACCATATGTCCAGACTCCTGCCCATACTTTGTTCATGCTATGGTGCACCTTGTAAACACCACACTCCCAGCAACCCACGTATTAATTACCACATGTTGACACCCGTTTAATCTTTTTCTCTAAAAGTGTTTATTAACGGTACTTCCACTGGTGTGGCTTCTTGTCTCATGGGCTGGAGAGAAAACCAGGTATAGTGCTCAAAGCTGGGAAGGAGGAATGAAGTCACTCTTTTCTGTGTGTCTCACAGTAATGACTTTTAAAATATGTTTAGTATTATTTACCTTAAGAATACAACAATTTGAATTTAATTTCATAAAAATGACTCTGTGCATACATTTTAAAGATTGACTAAAATGTTCAGAAGCTAATAATCATTGTAACACCTATGCTGGATGACAAACACCCAAAATTACTTTCAAGCATGCATATTGTTTGAATTTTGCTTCTCAGTGGCAGAAAATGAGAAAGAATGACACTTTAAAACAATTTAAATGTTCATCGTTGTTTTGTTCAACGTTCGTTCTTTGATTTTACTATAGTTTTACTGATTTTAAGGCTGTATAATTAAGTTCAAGTATCTTTATTGTCATTCGCATCACATATGGTACATGAGGTGGAACAAAACTGTGTACTGAAGGTCCCAGTTACATCCAAAAATAGCAAAAATATAAAGTATAAAAATAAACAGTATATAAGGATCTAAGATATACACTAAGATATACGCTAAACACTAATAATGTCAAGTAATACGGTATATTAAACAGCAGCCCGAACATGAGTCTTTAGTGAGTAGATGGGTATGAGTGAATACAGCAGCATGAGATCAGCAGTATGAGATGAGCAGCATGGATAATCAGCAGCACAGATAAGTCACATATCACCAATGAAAGTGGCATTAAAATTTGTTTATGGGGTAAATTACTATAGTTTTTATAGATTTTATATTAATTATAAATGATCAATAATGCAAATTTTACAACAGCTAATATCTGCACTTCTGCTTGACAATTATTTAAATGCCTAATCATTTAGAAATGTTATTAAAAAATGGTTTGATCAATGGATATATGTTCCTCAAGTTATCAACTGCTTTGACTTTTTGCTGTAGGACAAACTGTGCAGAACTGGCAATTTACCATACATCCAATCAGCAGCGCTTTTGACCTTACAGTCGCACATTTAGGTGGCCTTGTTTTTTCCTCTTCTTTCTGCCCCTTTTCACCAAGGAGAAGTGTAATATTGTGCCATGCTTTTAATTGCAGAAATACATCCTTCCCCTCATTATGGGGAGCCGAGAGGACAAGAAGCATCTGCAGAGGATGGAAAGCAACATTGCAGCAATGAGTGGCACGCTGACACAGACAGGTGAAGATTAATATCTTCATCACTTTCTCTCTCCTTAACATTTTCCCTCATTTATCTGTCGCCAAAATCGGGGGGCCCTGCACGTTTTTAACAAATGACGCCGCTGTCATTTCGCTTTAATTTGAAATTGCTTGTTTACTGTCAGGCTCGGGCTCAATTAATTACGTTTCGCTGAAAAGCTCTTAACCTCGGAATATTAATGAGGAGTTGGGAAATGACAACTTTTCTCAACCCCCCTCCCCATTCCCTTTCACTCCCCCCCTTCCATCCATTTCCCCATGCAACAACCTCACCCCCATCCGAACCTCCACTGCCATCATAATCTGCCACCCTCTCCCCTGTAGGTGGGCAGAAAGTTCATTTTAATTTAGTGTGTGTGTTAGTGTGTGCAGCATGGCACTGTGTGGCTGGGCTCAGCATTGGCCCTAGTGTGATTAAGTGCACAGTGACAGGTGCGGCTCCCATGTTGGACAGGTGAAGAATCTCAACCTGGCTGTCAGACGTGGGGAGAGGAAGCGGGGAGTGAGATGCTTTTCCAGCTCTTTGTCACTATAATTAAAAATCCAGGGAGGCGTAAATGAGAGGGGCACTCTGAGAAACTTGGGTCTTGTTAGCAGTAGTGTTAAACTGGCGTGTGTTTTCACCTGAGAGGTACCATCCCAATTTCAAATAGGTGCTTTTCTTTTGAGATTAGTTTGTAGTCCAAGTTGTTAAGGCGTGTGGTTGACAAAAACACAGTGGTTACATACTGTCTGTCATCAATTTATTATTAAAACTCCAGGACTACTGGAAGTCTTGGAATTGTATTCATAAACAAGTACAGTAGTCCCTCACTTATCGCGGGGGTTAACTTCCAGACAGACACCCCTGCGATAGGTGAAAATCCACAAAGTAGGGAGGTTATATTTATTTTAGTATTTATATATATATATATATATATATATATATATATATATAAAGGCTTTATAAATCCTTCTCCCACACTTGCAATGTTCTTAACTATGTTCTAAACACTCAAAAAGAGCACAGCAAAAGAGAACAGACAGACTGATGCTATGGTTACTGAGCCAGTCAGCGCCTGGGGGTGGACTGGCCATCGGGAGCTCGGTTCGGGTCGGGTCGACTCAGTTCGGGCCGCGCTTGATTATTTTAAATAAACAATCCATGATGCTCTCTCTGGTATCCGCCTCACTTAAGCTCCCACAGCAATGATGGGGAAAGACATACCCCACACCCCGCCTCTGAGGCTGACAGCCTCAGAAAAAGAAAGGAGGGGGCCCCTTGGTGATCACTAGCGGCTAGGCCACCGGGAAACAATGTGTACAATCTTACATTGAAAACCCACAAAAGAGTGAGTCTGCGTCAATCGAACTGCGAAGCATTGAGGGGCTACTGTACACAATTTGGTGGAAATATACATTTGTATAAATTTATTCTATACATTTTAATATTCAGAAAGTGACAGGCATCTGCAGATGAGCTCTGTGCCCTTTGTAAGACTTCGCTTGCAAAACTATACAGACATGCACAAGACCTTCGTCTGCACATCCTTTGTTGGATTTTTCCTTTGAACTTCAACTAAAAACAAATTTAGAATTTGCGTTTCCAGCTCCCATCAAGGCCTCACAGATGAAAATATGGCTGTTATCTTTTTATTCAGTCACACCCATTCTAATGTTGTCTCGGTGAGCCAGGTAGGTGGAAGGTGGAAATTGTGTGAGATGGCTTGCAAGGTGTGTCACCCTGAATCTGATAAACAAATATATGCTGTTTTATGGTCATTTTCTCCCAACTATGCAAACGCATTTACCCTGGATGTTTTACTGCCTATTCTTGCCCTACTTATCACTTTTTGGAGATTTGCCAACCTGCACACCCCATTCAGTTTCAGTGAGGACAAGATTACAGAGGAAAGTCCTCATGTTTTGTCAGTAAGAAGGTAAAACTCCACTATGACAAAAGGAGGGGAAGGGAGGACACTGGTCTTTTCTTGAGCCAATGTGTAGAACTAATTTGCTATGACTGCAGTAGCCAAGCTGCTATTGTAGTTAATGACTGTTGTAGTTAACAGTTGGGGAGAGGGGTTGCAATTACACTGAGTTTTCTCCCCCTGCTTTTGCCTTTGTCGCCTTCTCGCTTTTGCTCTCTCTCTGCTGCACTGAGTAATAGCAGCCGACTGCTTTACTGCTGCCAATTGCTTGAACCCCCTTTTGTTAAAGTTCATGTATTTCTCTAGTGCCAGGCGCAATGAGGTGATGTATCCTTCTGAATGGGGACTACATTAGTCTTTCTCACCAGGCCCAGCTAAGAGTAAGGGCCTTGACTCCCATTATGATTTGCCTACAACTTCACACAGACAATTAATGAATGGATCTTGGATCTCCTTCAACGCGCTCAGGCTGTAATGGAATTGTGTGGCTGTTTGGGCACTCTTTGTTGGTGGGAGCCATATTGGTGACCAGCTGGCCATTAAAGACAGAGACAAGCCTGGACATATGTAGTGTACATTATAGTGAGGAATTTACTGAATAATTTACTGAATACACAATGTGCACCCTCCACGCAGCAGCTGCAAGCTTCACAGATCATCTTGTCTCTGATTCTCTCGCTCACCCATACACACACACATGCACTCACACACTTCCTCTTTCTGATTCATGCCTGGCCAAAATCTCTGACTGTATTAATATTCTTGGCTCCATATCTCTGATAACTTGGAAGAAGTTGCTCATTTTTGTTGAGTGTCTGAGCAGGACAAAGGAGTCAACTTTGTAGAGCGACATGGAAGTCTTGGGCTGTGAGCCGTTTGGCTGAAGTGGCTGAAAATACAGTGGCATCGGTAATTTGCAGGCACAGCATTATGAGCTGCCAGAGTAACCCACACATCTGGATAAGTTGTTCTGTGGTGAGGTGGATTCAAAGACTAATAGGGCTGCTAGCGGTTTAGAGCGCACACCCTGTTACAGTAACACCTTTTTAAGCAGGGGTAACTACTATTTCTCTTCTATAGCCGTCTTCAGAAAGGTTGGTTGCACTCTGGCTCACAAACCAAGAAACTCAGATTTTTTTTTGCACAGTGGTTTTTGGCCCCGACCAGCATCGCTCTAACTTGTATTTTGTTCGATTCTTCAAGCCTGAAATGATCAAAAGCTTCGGCACCCCACCTATATTGATACAGCTCCACCCATTTAAACACAGGTGTCACTAAAAGATATTAATGTCTTTGAAAGATCAAATATTTTGTTTTTTTTTCTCCTGTGTTAGTTTTTCAAAAGACACCCAGCTCCCAAGTCAAGTTCTGTGTTTTGTCCCAGTCTGGGTTATTGTAGGAGGAGGGTTCTTTACATCCAGTCCAGCCGGCTGCAGCTCAGGCTTTTAACCATTGGCCTGACAACCTCAGCAGTGGACCACCACAATATCTGTTGATGTTAATCCTATTAGGCTTGATTTAACACTTTACACGCCCATGATTTATATGAATGTTTATTGGTTTTCTGTAATATAATCAGCTCAGGGAAACTTAATGCATTGTTTGGTAATACATGCGTGACTGGAAGCAGGGGGCAAAAAAAAACTGTGCCTGGTGTTATTTGAAATCATACACCTTCGTCCAACACCAACACTTGAACTAATTCAATCTTCAAAGTCAATGGAAAAAGAACAATATTTATTAGGATTAGGAGGGACATTTTGTCTGGCAGCCTCCTCTAAAATGAAAGCCTTGTTTTTTTTTTCCTTTGTTGATCGTTTGAGGGTTTAAGATGCATTAGAAGGCAGTGTCTGGGTGGATAATGGAAGGTTAGAGACTGTTATTTAATTTAAGTTCAGACACTAGAGATTAATACCTCCATCCTATGTGGACCCCTCCCTTCTCTGCCCCTACCCCAACGCCTCAGACCAAAAAGATGCAACTAAAGGTACCGGGTATTAGCTTTGATTATAGTTCTTCGAGGACAGCTTTGATCAGTGGCACAAGTTAAGCCTACCAGTTCTCTCATCACCTCTAGGAAGAGAATCACTTTGGTGTTACTAATGTAACCTCATCAAACATCCCACTTTAATTTCTTGTGGAGTTTATTGTTATTCTGCTTGTTTTTCCACAGTCAACCAACTGCAGCAAACTCTGGTCTCTGTCCAGGAGCTCCTGATTCAGCAGCAGCAGAAAATCCAGGAGCTTTCCCAGGAACTGGCTGCAGCTGAGGTACAGTAGTCATTTCAACAGCAACTCATCCATCACATCATGCAAGTAGCAACATTATTGAGGATAAAGTACAAAATTGTATTATTAATTTATGTTAGCTTTTCATCTACTTCTCTAGTTATGCTAGGTGACTTGAATAACAATTTATCTTTCTTTGTTTTCCTTAATTTGGCATGTGATTGCACATATCTGCATATAAGTCCTTATGACCTTGGTGAAAACTAACAACAGGACAACAAAACAACTTCACAAAGTTTCAACAGGATATTTTAAGTTTATGGCGTGATTGATGTATTTTAAGGAAAGCTGGACAGGCACTAACTTTGAAACTGCAGAGAAGCTCAATAACATCAAGTTGCAGGTTAAAACCTTAGATTGATGAGAGAGATTAGGCCTCTCATGGCCTCTGTGTACTAAAATATTTTATTCTACCCAAGTGGTAACTATTCAAGACAGACAGCATTATTATACCGTATATCATCAGAGTACAAGGTACAAAAAAATAAGGTGGATCTCATCACAGAACCATAATCTTTAACCATGCCACCTTGATTTTTATTGACAGTGTCCATAATCCACTCAGAATGTTAAGTGTTTTGGGAAATCCCACTGAGTGATTGTTTTAAAAACTTGTGTGCAGGAATGAAATGTTGCTTGATTTTTATATAGCACTGCTCATAAATTGTTTTATGATCTCTGGTACCTAAAATTGCTTTGAAAGAGACGGTCTTAGACAATGTTTTATGTCCACAGCTTGTTAAGCACGTGGGTGTATAAACGTAGCATCTGGATATCACAGGAAAACATATGTGGTAACATCTGCTTTGGCACAAAAGAGGAAGAAAAGTATGAATCTCTTTCCTGAACCAGGTTCATCAAAAGATGACGACAAGTAGCCCATTTTATGTCGTTTTAAGTTCTGAGCTGTGCATTATCTTTGCATGGTGCGGAAAACAACGATGGCCAAATCAGCACATGCTTCTCAGCCAGACAAGAGATCCAATTTGAACAATGAGTTTTATCCAGTGCAAAGGGACAATGGATCTTATTTCTTTTCATTTGTCATCACTAAATCACAGATTGGATTAAAAAGTCCACTTCATTTGCCATGAGTGCCTTGTTGGACAGCAGTAGTGTATAAAAAGTATATTTCCCATCAAAACACCCATTAAACAAATCATAAACCCTACTTTATAGTTATAGTGTTGATCTTAAATTTTCCTTGTGAGTCGGCACGAGGCCTACTGTTGTCTCAGGCCATGAGGGAAATTGGGAAATTGTTTTCAGGTCCAGGATGTTTGATGAGAAACACATGTTGGAGCCGGAGAGCTACTTATCATGCACCGTTTGCGGCTTTCAGGGTTTGCTGCACTACGTTGCTTAACGTGCGCCACGCTTAGCAATTATACCTCTCAACACGGAAATGTGCCTTTAACCCAAAACACATGGAGACTTCTGTTTCCTCAGCTGCTAAGCAAACATTTCTCATAGTTTGAAACCGCTCAGTTGCGGTGTGGGTCTGCTGTCCCCAAAGTGGGGACCTCATTATGGAAGTGAGCTTAAACAGACTGGCTCATGTCCACACATACGCACACCCAGAGAACACTGGCTGATGCAGCATTATTCCAGACGTCACTGTTTTCTTACTTATGATTCTGTGAGAACGTGCTGCTGTGCAGTATCATTGGCGTTGAGGGTAGACTTTGCCTTGGGAAGATACATCCTTGATGTTAAACAGCCAACTCTATTTCTGCCCTATTATCATTACAAATCTGCCTGTTAACTGTGTTTGCCCTGCTGTCTCAACTCACTGATCGTTCTCTTTATTAGTGGATACTACATAGAAGATTAGAAACCGTCTCCTTGCTTAGAGAAGATAAAGTACCAGTGGGAAAGAGCATAAATAGAGTGAAATCAATTGCGCTGTACCAGTGTTTCGACTCAAAAACACTGCTCTGGGGACTTCCATATGAAACTAATTCCATCATAAATATACATGTGTTACGGGAAAAAAACAGACTGTCTGCCAGCGGAGTAACTGGGAATTAATTTGCCTTCAGACACTCTTAAACAAGGCTTGTTAAAGATCTTATCTCGCTGCTAATGGTCCAAAGGCATTTATCTTCATTTAGCCAGATGTGCTGCCATCCTTGGATGCTGCTGGATTTGTTTTGTTTTTTTTCCTTTGCTTGTAATATATATTTTTCTTCCTTTTTTTCCTGAAACACTTAGTTAGCCAGCAGAAATGGGCCGACCCCTATTACACCCAGGCACCCACCCGAGACATATTAGTTACAAGGCTTTTAAACCAGTTAGGGGAAATCTCGCTGTAAACAGTATTTACTCTGTAAAAACACAGCCAGCCTGAACGTTAGTGGTTCATCATTTTATAGGTTGTACCTCATTGATAGGCTAAATACGTTATTTTGATTTTGGTAGGTTGGCTTATTTGTTTAGTGATGTATTTTTTCCATTCTGACATGTTTTTTTTGTTTAATTAATTTAGTACAAAAGGAAGTGTAAAGTGGACGGTATGCCCTGCACTTGTTAGACTATTATTGCAGGTCACGTACAGTTCAACGCAAGTCTGTCAGTCAAACACCAGAAACAAGACACACTTAGAATTTTCCATTTTTTTATTATTTGGTGTTTCTTCAAGGAAAAAGGAAGGACTTTTGAGGTCAGATGCTTTTTATCCAAGAGCAACAGCTGTATGCAGACATTGATATTGATTTAAAGTGAACAAGAATAATTGTAACACCTACAGAACCGTAACCTTATTTGCCCCCAGGATGCCAAAATGTTTTGTTTAACCACATGGAACCAGAAAATAAAAATGGAATTAAAGCATTTTGTTGCACAAAATACATCTCAGTTATTATTATGTAATGTTTAGTTTCAAAAACGGAAGATATGTATTTTAGAGATGTTTTTAAATATGCAAATAAACAGTCAATAAGATTCCAATCGCTGTCAAAAACCTAAGACTTTACGTAAGTGAAATGTGAAACAGCAAGAAGTCACACAGGCATCAATAAGGATGGCCAAGAGAAAACAAACAACACTTATTTAAGTTGAAGACCAAATAAGAATCAGTGTGCATCAGCTTGATAATTGCAGAGGTTAAACATTTTGACCAGCAGTTCTTGAAACGTCACATCTTACACACTTGTGTGGTCTGTTGGATATGTGTCAACACTACAGGTGGAGCTTTTAAAGTTGGCATTCTTCAATTTTCTGCAGTCACTGATACCTCCAACATTCAGCCTTCACCCAAACACCTTGTGCACTTAACACATAATCCTCACACAATGTGTGCGTATACACACTGACATAATGTATCTCAGAGCTGAAACTCAGTCCTGGCCCTACATTTAATTAGGTTTCTTCAGACTTAATAAGACATATGTCAGAGTTAGTGTTGTGTGACAAGCCTTGATGGGAGATATTATATGGTGCGGCTCTGTAGATAATGCATATTATGAATGTAGCTAGTGGTTTACGTGTCGACTCAAAAGGCTTCTTTTCTGTTAGGTGGCATGAATGAACAGAAGTTATTACATTTCAATTACTTTGAAAAATATGCCCTTCAAGCGATTTTGTGCCAGGGAAATTTTTGACTCAGCCTTTAAAATAATTAATATTTTCACCCAAAATAGGAGAGAGAAGCAGATATGAGTCTTATTGCCTCCTTGGGGAGGTGAGGGATTAAGATGGTTCTAATGAGGTGACGGTTGTAATAAGAGTGTCTTTAGCAGGCCTCCAATGCACCGCAGCTCCAATGAACACATCTTCTTATCAGGGAGGTTTAGAAGCTGATAAGAGCCTCCCCCCAAAAAAGGGAGAAACTCCTTTTGCTTCATCTTCTTTTTCTATCTCCTTTCACTTCTCCTCCTCTTCCTTCCTCCATCCGCTGTAAATGAGTCTGATCCCTTTCAGATGTGATTCAATTAATTTCTCTTAGATTTAATTACAAGCGAAAGAGTCCAAGTTATCCCTCTCTCCTCGATAGGGGGTCCACGCTGCCTAACAAGCTTCCTCTGGTGAGTCAGGAGAGTCTTAATTACAGCTTTTACTTTCCTTTTATCCCACTTTTCCCCCTGTCTGCTCCTTCTAATCCCTTCTGGTTCCATCCGTGTATCGTCTAGCTCTCAAATGTTTTTGTGCTTTTTACTAAGGAGTTGACTACGAAGTGTAAGGTACTTCTACTACTTTACTGTTTCCCCAACAGTTTAGGGTTATGGTCAGCTAATGCTTTCTCATTGCACCAAGTACATTATCCCTGGGGTTCCCAACCCTGGTCCTTGAGGAACACCATCCTGCCTGTTTTAGTTGTATCCCTGCTTTGACACACCTGAATTGAATCAATGGGTGATTAACAGGCTTCCGTAGAACTTGATAACGTAATTAAATCACTGAATCAGATGTGATGGAGCAGGGAAACAGCTAAAACATGCAGGATGGTGTTCATCAAGGACCAGTGTTGGGAACCCCTGCAATTGTGAAGTTATGTTTTTTTTTTTCTTGTTTTTCCTGAATATTTTTATGGTAAACACTGTTTGTACTGATCCTCTTCTGTGTTGCATTACATTTTCAGGTTATTGCTGTTCTAATCCTTACTTATTTGGCATCTATTAGTCTGCCTCCACGTTTTAGACATGTTTGTTTCAGATGTTTGCAATCTAATCTTTCTTCTTTATCTGAGTTTTCAATGTTATTTTTTAGCAAATGTTACACGACCCAAAAATAAATAAATGCTTTTGATTTATGATGCTTTTTGTCACCAGATCTTTGCCAAAATTTGTCCTTTATTTTATTATATTTGATTCCCATAGAAAAGGCTTCAGAGTCAGATTTTCAGCTGTAATTTGCCATTCAAATACCTTTCCATTCTACCCTGTAGCATTTCATGCTACACCAGTGTATTTGTCTTTGTGTGATAACACAAGCCTCTGATAAAAGAGCAAAAGAACAAAACACTGCTGAGCTTTGGTCTGTCTTTATGAATGTGTCCATTGTTCAAGATTGCCATTATCCAAACCACAGCACACTGACCTAATCTTTTCTAGGCAGTATGGAAAATTATGTAAAAACAGTGTAATTCACACTCACTGGACTTCCTGACATCAGAAAACGTGGCTTCAGCAGAATTGTTTGCCTTCCTCTCTGTCATCAAACCCAGTAGGCAGTTGCTAAAGTTGTTATGGTGACTGATGACTTGACTATACACAAACATGTGGCTTTTAGCATTTGCATTTGCTATATTTGTTTACTTGTACTATCCTTTCATGAAATAAGGTTTAATATTTCCTACGGTTGTGGAAAAGGCTAAACACGCACAGTGGTTTTGTGCTGTGACCCTTCAGATGACTTGAACAGTTCATGTTTGTGTTTTTGTGTCAGTGACAGTTGTGTGTTCATCTCTTGTGTTTTTATACAGACTTCGTCCTCAACCAACCGCATCCTAGACAACCAAACAGTTGGAGACCTGAAGGCTGAGATTTCCTCTTTGAAGGGTTTACTGCTCAGCAGGTAAAGTTATTCAGACCCCCGTCACATGAACCAGTCCAGGTGTGTGGTGTGCGAAGAGTGGGTGTGTGTAAAGATTTAAGACGTGTCGTTTTTGTCATTTTCTGAGTGGTACGCTCTTTCAGGAGCTGCTCGAGTAAAACTTCCTCGTTCTCCTCATCCTCTTCCTCCTCCTCCTCATCAGACTTTGTAGGAGAGGAACTCGCAGTGTAATTAATGCATAGATTAAAGTAGAAAAAATATTTTGACTGAAAACTTTTCTACGCCTGTAGACCCCCCACCACACACACACACACACACACACATTTGAAAGCTTTTGTCTGCATATAGGCCACTTCTCAAAGGTTTTCACATAAAGAGAAGTATAATGTGTACTGTGTACATGACCTTAGTAAAAGTACACAGTATAGTGTTCTCTAATGGAGTGATGTCATTGTAAGAAGACTTTAACCTGCATCAAGACCAATGTAATTCTGAAGGAAGTTTTAACAACTTTTCTCTAGTTTACTTTTATGTCATTCAGTGTTTTCAATTGAGGGATTATCTGATGTATTTAAAATAAATTATAACACATGAAGTAATTTGCAGAGTATGAATCAACTTAAAATTAATATTTTTTTTAATTTGCCTGAATAACAGATTTCTTCTCTGAAACGATTATTTCATTTTGAAGGGATTATGATTACAGGATTTCAACTTGTGGTCATTTAATACTATTTATTTTTCATATTTGATCATTTGTTAAATTCCATTTATCACAGTACAATTACCTCTCACTATGATTCTAAATGTACACAAGTTTATCTCATCCAAACAGCCAAAGTCTCTTATTATTGCTAAAACATTGTGTTCAGTGGTGCTTGAAAGTTTTGTGAAGCCTTTATAATTTTCTATATTTCTGCATAAATATGACCTTGAAGCATCACACACGTTCAAAATTAATAAAGAGAACCCAGTTAAACAAATGAAACAAAAATATTGTACTCGGTCTTCTTTTTTTTTTTTTTTTTTTTTGAGGAAAATGATCCATTATTACATATTTATGAACAGATGAGCCCAGCCAGCTCTTGTCACCTCTTCTTGTGGGATGTGGGACAGGCAGGGGCAAAATCCTGGACTGTCCCACCACCCACATCGGGATGGTTGAAAACACATTGTTTTTTTACCCTTTTAATTTTTAAAGACAAGAAAACTTCATTGCAGTGACTGAAGACTTTAATCCATGTCGATTTCACTTGGTTGTCCATAAGACAACCTCGAGGAGAGAGCTGGTTGTCCGAGACAAAATAAATTGTCTTGGACAAACAGAAACTGCTTATGTTGACCCCTGTTATGACTTTACAAGTGGGACAATGATGGGTTCCTTCATCAGTAATATTTTCTGATCTTCTTGCTCAAGAAACATACAAAATTATGAAAAAAATCACCAAAGATCAGAGAGCTTTCTGTTTAATTCCTCAGAAAAGTTGTTCAAATGCCAAATTAACACCCATTTCCACTGCACTGGTTTGTTCACTATTGTGATGCTGGTGTTAAATCTAAAGCTGTGCTGATTGTGAGACATGAATGGTACTGAATCTAACCTTGCTTGATTGGTTGTAGTGAAACATCAGAAAATGCACCCCATTCAGTCAAATGCTGTACATACTGTACACTCAGCTGCCTTTACATAACAGGAATGCAATGTGTGTTTAAAAATCACTTTGGCTTTAAGTGTGTGTATTTTACTTGGAGGGATGAGTTTCTGAGAAAAATGTCCAAGAATAAGTCATTCATTGTGCACACACCTTTGTACAGTACAGCACACGCAGTAAAGAATGCAGTATCGCATTACTTTTGCAAACAGAAGTTTGCATTTTTTGTTTTACCTTAAAGCATGCTGCAGCCTTCAGTTGGCCTACTGTGTGTTACGAGTTTTACTGGTAACCAGTGTAACATACAATATGTGCATATCTTTGAAGGACGACTGTATAAAAGAGAAATTATAAATGTCAACTAAAATGTATTTTGAATAAACTTGAACGTAAAGTTTTTATTGCATTTACATTGTTATTGTGGCACGGTCTTGCTGTGTGCTCCTTAGTCTCTACCTATTCTGTCTCAATCTAATCAGGCCCAGCCCAGCTCAGTTAGGCCCATTAGCATGCATGATTATGTATCCATGTCTATAATGAGGCCTGAAGAAAGAGAAAAAACACCAAGGACACAAATTGCCTCAGAAGTGTCTGGTTGAGCATGTTTTGTTCTCCCTCATACATTCTAATCAGCAATAATCCTTTTGTCATTTGCTTTCTTAACTTCATCTCAACTTTCACTGAGAGTTTCCTGGCAGCAGCTTGAATCAAAAAGTGCCATCTGTCTCAAAACTTGTTGTCTTCCTGTTCAGCTGATCCAAATTGTCCCAAAACTGTTTTCTTTTAAACCACCAGGAAGTGCAGAAACCATTCAAAGCTGTCTTTTTGATCTTAAAAAGCACCATTCTTTGTAATAAAAAAAAAGAAGTGTTTGAACATCTTTACCAGGTGTTATGAACATCTGGCTGTTTGCTGGAATAAACAAAATCTTCAGCTGTAATTATAGGAAGTACATAAGCTGCTTAGTTTGTGGCTCATGTACAATGTAAAGACGTGGTTGAGTCTAGTTTGTAAGTGCCTCAATAAGAAAGTTGTACAGTAGCCCCTCACTTATTGCAGGGGTTATGATCCAGACACCCCCACGATAAGTGAAAATCCACGAAGTAGGGACGTTATGTTTATTTTACAATTTATATATATTTTAAGGCTTTATAAACCCTTCCCACACTCTTGCACTGTTCTTAGCAATGTTCTAAACTCTTTAAATGCTTTGAAAGAGTACAGCGTAAGAGAGCAGACATTACTGAGCCAATCAGTACCTGGAGTTGAACTGGCCATCGGGAGCACCGGTAAGAAATGGTTTGTGAAATGCCCCGGCTCTGTTCAGGTCGCATCGGCTTGGTTCGGGTTAAGGCTCGATTCAGGTCACGTTTGATTATTTTAAATAAGCAATCCATGCCACTCACTCTGGTATCTGCCTCATTGAAGCTCCCACAGCAGCGATGGGAAAAGACAGACCCCACCCCTGCCCCTTCTTTCTCTTTCTGAGGCTGTCAGCCTCAGAAAGAGAAAGGAGGGGGCCCCTCGATGATCATTGAGCAGCCAGGCCACCGGGAAACAATGTGTACAATCTTACGTTGAAACCCTGCAAAAGAGTGAGTCTGCGAAAGTCGAACTGCCAAGTGTGTTGGTATTTTTATATTCCCTGTTGTTTATTAAATTCTCTGTTATTTTTTTTATATCTTGTGTGATTCCTTGTGTGTATGTTCCTTTGTGCTGAAACTCTGGCACAACAATATCCTGCTGGATCAATAAAGTTCTCTCTTATATTATCTTATCTTATCAAGGGACTACTGTACCCAATTATGTCTGATAACCATGTTTAAAAAGCTTGTTTTACATATTGTGATCACATTATGGTTTTTGATAACATTTTGTTTGCCCCCCTTCAGAAAACAATTCCCTTCCACCCCTGCTATTCCTAAGATCCCATCGTGGCAGATTCCACTGAAGCCGCCTTCAGCGTCCGGACCACCGTCCATTAACCACACCAACAGCAGCAGTGACATCTCCCCTGTCAGCAACGAGTCCTCCAACTCCTCCCCTGTCAAAGATGGACACCACAGCCCCCAGGATGCACTGGGAGGGCCAGATGGAGCTCATGCTAACAACGATGATTCTAGCGCTTTGGGCCCAAGCACATCACTACCACTGGACCAGGTACGCATGGAGGTGCAGGGGGAGGAGGAAAAGAAGGAGGAGGATGGTGATGTTAGTCATGTAGAGGAGGTTTTAAGCATGCAGACTGAAGATCGACTAGGTGGCGATGGACAGATTAATGAACAAGTAGACAAACAGAGGCGACCCGAGGGTGCCAGCAACGAAAGCGAGGTTGATTAGCCGTCAGCAGTGAGCACAAAAACACTCTGCAGAACAACACTGATCCCTGCTTGTGTCTCTCTGCTCCTTGACTCATACACAGTTTATTTTTTTAATCTAGTTTCCCCGTCAGTGTCTGCTTCCCTTTTTTCCCCCCACATTGAGCAAACTGAAAAGTAGATATGAATGGAGGAAGATCCACAACTGACAAATATCAGGGTGTTTAGTGACACATGGCTTACCACAATTTACTTTTGATCATGCAAACAAAACAGGCTGCTAAGCCGAGGCCCACAGAGAGATGTTCCTGTAAAAAAGAGAAATGACAAGTGATAGTCAAATCACACCAACTTTAAAAGCTCGTGTACAACTTTAACAGCCTCTGACCAACTGCTTTTAATGTTCACGATCAGATATTTCACAGCTCAGCCTTGGTGTCCTTGTAATTCTTGAGGTTCTTGTTCAGAACAAAGAGTTGGTGCTGTGTGGGATAGCTCTGCTGTGTAACTCTGGGTCAGGAATCATATGTTATCTCAGTCTGTGAGCTTCCCGTGAAGCATTTTCAGCGTTTGCCTCCACTTTGATGGCTATAGGACAGGACAAGTTCTTCCAGGGCCGGAGCTTTTAGCCTCTTTTATGTGTCCTTTCACATTGGTGTCAGTCTGTCAATAATTCACAAGGCCAGCAGGGTGGCATTTGGGTGAAATAAAAGCCCTGAAATTTGAGATTAGAATGTGATGACGGGCTTTGTTCCATGCCGGTGTCAGAGTGCTCATATGCTCAGAGGAGGGGAAGATAAATGTTTTTCACCCCCCCCCCCCCCCCCGCTTTCCTTTTTTTCACTGAGGGCTGAATTCTGCATCTTTACAAGTGCATTTGTGCGTGGCAGGCGAGGAGGTCCAGACAGTCTGCTGAGCTATATATGTGTCTCCAGCAGGGCAGCTGATTTGGTTTGTGAAGTATGTTAATAATCAAATGATCAACAAATAACAGATGTATTAGTTCATGCGGCTTGAAATGTCAAGGAGGCTAAAAGCGGAAATCTAATACAGAAAGCCCAGTTGCATCGTATTATTTTCTGTGACAAACCCTCCGGTCCAAATTACGTAGGGCCTCCTACAGTGAGTAATCTTTACAGAAAACGGCAACAATATTTTGTAATTAAGCTGCAGTAAGACACAAGCCCTGCCACAGATGGAAGTTGCAGAACTTGTATTACTTTTTTTTTTCTCGGTGTGGAGGTGGATGGGGAAGTAAAAAAAAAAATTGCCCCATGATTGAAAAGGAAAGTAATAAATGAATACTTGACTTATTGAATTACTCACTGTGTCTCAAGCTAACAAGAAAAGTCCATGACTGAGAAGAAGGAATATCGGCTGTTGAGCGATTTCCACCTCCATTGCACAACCTTCTCAGGAACACAGGAAAGGTAGAGGAACGCATCACATTTTAGAGTCTGACGTCCTGACCTATGTGTTAGGTTTTCCTATGCTAATTGAGATTAAATACAAAACAATAACAACTTTATAGTATACTGTAAATTTCAATTTTTTATGTATTTGAAAAAAAAAATTGTTCGTAAATGAATAGTTTTAAAAAAATGTTCAGAAAGTCACATTTCTACTGGATATTCAGTCCTTGTTGTTTCTGTAACAATATCACATATCAATATTGTAACGTATATAATTTCAACCATAAATGTAATAAATCTTGTTTGTCTCAAGAAGATTCTCTTTATTTTAAACAAACTAAACACGACACACAGTGCATGCTACTGTGTGTCAACATTAAGGACGGTCTTAGTTATGATGGGATGTTCATGTTTATATTGTGAAACTAGAAAAGAGCTTAAAATAAAAATCAGCTAACTTTTCCTGGAGTTGTTTGAGAACGTTCTTTAAATTTATTTTTAATGTTTGTGTCAATGTGGTTATGTTTCTGAAGATTTTCTTTGTGTTCAACTTAGTTTGGCAAACCTATAACAACTTATATTTACTGTTGGTTGCACCATAAAGGTTTTATTAAAGAGAGTTAAAAAGTAAAAATAAAAATAAACAAGACATTCTTGCATTTTTCTCCCCCAAAAAATTAAAAGACTAGAAATTTTAGAAAAGACATGTATCGCTTTATCCAAAATCAAAAACATGCAAATATAAAATATATTTTTTAGTGTCCCTGCTCTCCTGCAGGGTTGTCTTGTTTGATGGAGTGCAGAAGCAGATGAGAATATTATTTTTGTTTACTTCATGTAAAACCATGAATCAGTCAGAAAGCTTGACAGAGCAGGGACTTCCACTTTGTTCAGCTCTTTGTCCTGAAATGACTGAGTTGATCAAATACAGGTACCTTCATTTAATCTGTAAGTTGAGCACAAGTGCTCATCTTTTAGTTTCTGTTGCACAAACACTGCCTTCAAACCTAGGCTTCATGGCTTAATTTGTAGTGTTGTTAAGTTGAAAGCTGTTATAGATTTAAACTCCCTGTGTACAAGATTTACAGTGATTTATTGACTATAACGCCATGTATTTTTTCTGCACTTTATGCAACCATATTTCACATGTTTCATGTTGAAAATGATTTCACAGCTAATTTTACTTAATACGTACAGCTGACTAGTGCAAAGAGCTGGACAAGATGGAGAGTTGGGTTAGTATCATGATTTCAAAGACAAAGTAAATTGTAATAGGTGGAGATAATTTGATACAAGTCTCCTCTGCATCATGCGTACAGAGCATCACTTATAGAGTACAATGTACCAGTTGCATTATTACATAGTACTACTCACACCTAAACTAGAGTACTGTAAAATTTGTGAAACGTATCAAGAGTTACATGGAGGTAGATGGAGTGAGAATAGAATGAGATGGAGGAAGATGACTCGCTGTGGCGACCACTGAAGACGGAAAAGCCGAAAGTAGTAGTAGTAGTAACAAGAGTATGTTCTAATTCAACTTGTGTGACATGAAAATTAAAATGTTTATAAAGTAGCATCAGTATTGCTCTAAAATATAATTATCAGATATTTTACAAGTAAATGTACTACAAATAAAGTAGCTTACCAGGCTGTTTAGCAGTCTTTCAACAGTCATAGCATCTTCTATAGACAATATTGCCATACATTTCATGCTTTTTTTATTTGGACCAATTTGCTTCTTGCCATTTTCAATGCCTTTCATAAATTACAAAAGACTAAATCCTGACTCGGTGAAAACTTTTATACTGAACACTTGCAATTTCTAGTTCAAACTAACAACACTTGTTCACAGCTAAACAAGAAAAATCTAATTTTAAGGGATCATTTGGGCATACTTTACCTATAATTCACAATAAAACTGGAGATTCATGTGCATTACGAAAAGTATTGATTCATGTAGATTTGTTCAATTTGCCTTTCATCAGGAATTACACATCTTCTAAAGCGACAAACGTGTTCAGAAAACTTGTTTTCGCACTGCACAAGACCTACAGACGGGCTTTTATTGGAAGTTCATTTCAGTAGGAGTTCATTATACAGTAATTATTTATTCTGTGCCAAAGCATGTTGGTGTAGATATTTAGTCATTATGGATTTTTCAATCCTAAGACTTTGATAGAATGCAACTGGACCTCTTGTTCTCGTTTCACATTCGTACACACCCCTTCAGTTCTGAACTGAAACAAGACAAGAAAGCCACTTTTAAATTATCCTATTAGAAATGACCCAAAGTGTTTAAATGAACACACACTGAGTTACAAGCTGGACAACTCTGAATGATCATGTTTTATTTGATTTTTCAAAATGATTGTGTTCAAGGCTGACTGAAGCCAGTACAACCTGTTGTACACTGCTCACTACTTTTGCCTCTTGTCACTTAGTTGACCCTCACTGAAAACCTCAGAATACCATTATTTGTCAGATGGTTTATCAAAAATGGTGCAGACAACAGCAAAGGTATTTTGTTCAAGGTTTGCCCAACTAGTTAGCAGACATGTTATAAAGGGAAGCCGATAAGCAACACATGAACTGTCTGAACTTGAACTACAAGCAGTGAATTTTTGTGCACAATTTGCTTTAGACTGTGGACTTTATAACAATATAAAAAAGTTAAGGATTGGGGAAAATGCCCAAATATGCCACATAGTTTATAGTTGTGGTTTACCATGTATTAGCCAAAAAAATACTTATGTATTTCTTCATGCTGGGTATTGCCATGCAATGTCAAGTGTATGAGTTTAATTTATCACGGTCTAAATGATCAATAGTGTTTCACATATTGATGAGGTGTATAAACTTCTCAGAGGTTCAATACCACATCCCTTTGTAATCCATTAACCTCTCCCTGGAGTTCAGGCCAACCTTAGATTTATAGGGACCTCCAGTAATAAATCCACTTGTACATCATTTAGTGTCTTGGGGGATTTGCAGAGCATTTCTGTCTACAAAGCATCATCTAGTCTCATCTCCATTTTTAGGAGTCCCACCAACATCCACCACAGTTTGCATACCCAGTCAGGCACCTTGTGTGAATTTAAATGTGTTTCCTGGTGAGTTAGTTGGTGACCAGTGGCTCTCGGTGTGGTAGTGCAGTGAAGGATTGTTTGTCTACAGCAACACCTTGGTTTTGACACCATTTGGCTCCCCAGTTGGGATCCTTAACCTCATCAATCTTGGTGCTAAACGGAGAGCACTCAATAGGATAGTGTATCGACACGCTCTGAACTCCATTGTTCACTGGAACTGAGCACTCAGCAGGTTAGAGGGCTGAGTGTCTCCTCGGATCAATGCAAGAGTTGTTAGCCCATAGCAGCAGCAGTCAGATGGCAACTGTGGCTCTGCAGCACCATACACACCTTCTCTACTGATTTAAAACAAATCTGTGGGTCCTTGATTGTTGATCTTGAATGGGGGTACTTGACATCATAGCAACAGAGGTCTTCTTGAAGCATCAGGTTAACCAAACTTCAGGACAGGTAGGGGAAACTTCCTGTCATTTTCATAGGAGAGATCATGGACAATGCAGGAACAGGAGAACTGAGAATGAGATGGTCATGCTTCCTCTTCCAGCTTAAAGTGCTACAAGCATAGTCTTCGACAAAGTTTTTTTTTTTTTAACAATGCATTCTATCTAAGCTTGTAATTTTTTTTTTCGTGATGCATTTCTTTTTTCTTTACTATTTTTACAATGAAATATGGCTGCATGAATCACCTCCAAACGCCTTCTACAGCTGTCCCGCTAAAAGCAGCTTACCGTCTCTGAGCGGCTGCCGAACACTGGCTCCTTCTTGGTGAAAATGAGAACATTTGACAAGCCAAGGTCACCAAGGAACTTTGCCTGTATAAGGCTTCCATCGCAGGGCCCCACGAACACTGCAAAGTCATAAAGCACTTTGTCATCACTCGCT